ATCTACGCACGTGCCCAACAACTAATAACACGTAATGTTGAAATATGCAGCCTTCCAACTTTGTTTGGTTATGAATTGTCAACAGTCCCGTCAGCACTATTTGATAAATTTAGGGACATGAATCCGTCCTCCCAAAAATCACAGTTAATGAATCAATTGAGTGTACGGGTCTCGTCTAGAGGGAAATTTATGAATGCCTTGATTATAGATGCTAGTGCTCTTTGGGGAATATTCATTGACCAAAAGTTGGTACAATACAAACTTATATTGACAATGTTATTGCAGTAATCATGAAGCACTTTGAAGAACAGGACACATTTCTTGTATTTGATAGGTACTTCGAGTACAGACCAAAGAGTGCAACGCGGTCAAAAAGAGGAGTTAACAGTACTTCCAAGCAACTAGGAGCAGACTCACCTCTTCCAAGTCGCAACAGTATATTAACCCATTCATGCAATAAAATACAACTAACAAACATAATTTGTAATCAACTACTACAACATAGTCAGTTTCTTCCACACAAGTTAGTCATTACTGGTACTGATACAATACCAAATGAATTACAAACTCCTGGTATTGTATCATTGTAATTCCTCGCTCAGATTTGGAAACTCACCATGAAGAAACAGACATTATAATTGTTCAGCAGGTTATTCGTCTGTTAGGGTGTGCAACAAGCAACATCAAGATTTTATCTGATGACACTGACGTTTTTGCTGGGCTTGTACACTTTTACAGAAAGCTGAATCTTAAATGCGCTATGGGGAGAGTTATTATAATATATATTATAATTTCTGGAAGACGGCTCTCTCTCTCTCTAAGTCATAATCAATGATGTTCCTTAATATAGGTATTTATAGGCATGCTGATGGAAAATAAGTTTCATATTTTGTAGATGATCTTCTAAACCAAGTTAGTCTTACCCATATAAATAATAATTATATTCATTCGAGGACAAGGAAATGAAGATAGAGTTAGCACATACTTATTGGAAAAGAAGCCCTTTATCTATCTAATTACTCAAAATCAAAATTTTTCAGTTAACTGTCATATGAAAAACAATCCTATTCTATAGATACAAAAATCCTAGATCTTGTCTAAATTGAGGTCAATTGAAATTAATTAAGGGATGAAACACACATAGGGGACAGTTAATTTGCAGGCTCATAATTATTAGGGTATTCTTATCAAGTTTATCAAGAAAAAGTGAAACATAAGTGAATTAAGTTTAATTAGAGAACTTTCAATTATTACTCCTTGACTTAGTTTATTGCACGAAGAATTGTTCTATGACACAATATTTTTCAACTTAAGTCTTTTGAACCCCCTCTGAATAAATAAACAAAACCGAAAGTGATTTACTTGCAAATTAATTTTTAAATTCGAAAACAAATTTAGCTGTACACGTAGGGTGTCGTATAAGGAGAACTCCTGCCAGTGAAGCCCCCAGACAAGAACCGCAACGGATGAATTATAACGACGTAGGAGTTATTATATTTTAATATCAAGCCCCGGTCTGGAAGATGTACAATTCGTATTTTCGGGCTCGAATAAATTTACTGCGATTTAATTCAATCGTATGAATAAAACACAATCATATAATGCCCACCAGTGACAAAAAATTATACGGCTGTACCGGAGTTTATAATTTAATTTTTCGGTTCTGGGCAAAGCCTACGCATATACGTCGAACCTGGCGGTAATAATTCTTAAAAATAAAACAGTTGCAATAATTTCTTGTGGAGTAACTCTAATAAATATTAAGATATGTGAATCTTTTTAGCAAGGTGAATAATAGCTTGTGTACGGATACATTTTTATCCAAATGTGTATCAAGTATTTTACATTCCAACCAATATAAAAATCTGCTGGGATCAATCCTGAAATTTGAACCTGTGAGCGAACGATTATGCTAGGTATACCTAAGGGTGAAAGGAACATTCTGTTACTACTCCTTACTGTCTGTACACGCACCAACCGAAGACAAAGATGAAGCAGTGAAGGACGAGTTCGCACTACCAGAACTGGATATAAAACTTATTTTGGGAGGTTTTAATGCAAAGCTAGAGGAAGAGAAGCGCCATTAAGGGCCCATGTGAGTACAGAAAGCCTACATATATTCTCAAATGATAAGACTTGCAGAACTAGCAGCATCCAAAAATCTCCTTATTAAATCTAAAAGGTATGAACATAAAGATATCAATATAGAGAGTAAGAAGCTGTCCAGGGCCAGATGCGGACTCGGACCATTTTCTCGTTAGAACAAAGCTGAGAATCACGATAGCAAGTTAAAAAATGTGCAATTCAAACAAAATCAACAGTGGGATACAGCAAGAGTGAAAAATGAAGAAATCAGGAGGTGTTTCCAGGCAGAAATAGAGCACCGAAGTCAAGAAATTACAAACACAGATGACGTCGACACGAGTTGTAAAGTACTAGGTATCCGAAGTAATCATAGAGGCAGCAAGAGTTACTGTGGGAGTATAGCCAAGAAACAAAATTAGAAACCATTGATACGATCCGCAATGCGAGAGGGTACCTTTAAAGGCCATTTTACAGTTTGCAATTCTATCTGCAATATGCAAGAAACTTGAACGATGCATGTGCAGAATTTAGTCAGTTGGTTGTTTTCTGCAAGATTCTTGAAACCTGAATAGCAGTGCATGCAATTGGTTTGGTGCCATTATTCTTGAACGGTTTTCGCGAGAGCTGGAGAATTTTTAGTAATAATGATGCCTTAAAGTGGTTGCTATTGTTTTCTTCGTTTCATATCGACTTTAATCACTTTTTTCATTTTTGGAAAATGCAAACATCAATAACACAAAATTAAAAACAAAAAAGTATTGTTAAGGTTAGAGAACGAAATAAGACGAATTGCAAGGTGTAAAACGACGTGCAAGAAATCTCGAATGCAATTTTTTTGCATGCAAAAAATTGCATTCAAGTTTTCTTGCAAGCTGTAAAATGGCCTTAAGGAGAGGAATAATGCAATACTAGTAATAAGGAGAGAGGCTATAAACTACTAAAAAGGAAAAAAAGAGAACAACAAGATCAGGAGTTGCAGGAGCTGGAAGTCGATGGAAGGAAGAATACCAGAAAATTCTATAAGAAAATAAGAACAAGAATGGCTCTAGACCCAGAACCAACAACCCCACATTATCACTGATATATTCGAATACTTGTTATTTTGAATATGACACTTGCAAAGCAAAATTTAAATTAAAACAGCATTTAAAGAATCACAAACTAACACATTCGAATATTTATACTTTTGAATGTGACTCTTGTAAAGCAAAATTTAAACGAGAAACCGATTTGGAGAATCAAAAACTAACACATTCGAATATTTATACTTTTGAATGTGACACTTGCAAAGCAAAATTTAAACGAGAAACCTATTTGACAAATCACAAACTAACATATTCGGATATTCATCATTTCGAATGTGAACAAAAATAGGTACATTTTCAAGAATCACGAAGTAATACATTCGGATATTTATCCTTTTGAATGTGACACTTGCAAAGCAAAATTTAAACAAAAAGACGATTTGAAAAATCACAAACTAACGCATTCGAATGTTTATACTGTTGAATGTGACACTTGCAAAGCAAAATTTAAACGAAAAGGTGATTTGCACATACACAAACGAACAACGGGACAACGGAGATCTAGTAACCAGGCAAGATGCAGCAAACATGGAAAGAGTACTTTGAACATCTACTTAACCAGGGTTATACAAATAACGAAGAACCGGCCAGGCGATGAATGCCGAACTCTTGAAACATGCCGGAAACAGCCACATCCCAACTACACGAACTCATAAGAACTATATGAAAAAACGAGAAACTCCTAGAAGACTGGAAAGAAAACATCATAATTACCTTACACAAAAAAAGAGATAGAATGATATGTAAAAATTATAGAGGAATATCGCTCATAAACGTGGCATATAAAGTTCTATCAAATAAAATCCTGTCGAGATTAACCCCAACACAACCTTGAAAACGTCAATCAGTTCAAGTACCTAGGTTCGATCATCACAGCCGACAATGATGTCGCCGAGGAAATAAAGTACCGAGTAAAAATGGCAAGCAGCTGCTTCGATGCCCTTCAGAACATATTTGAATGCAAAGAAGATACTAGAAGATCCCAAATCAAAGTATACAAAACTGTCATTATACCTTTCATTTTGTACGGCTGCGAATCGTGATTGCTAACGGTACGAAATAAAAAAGTCATCCTCAGATTGGAAAGGCGAATCTTAGGAAAATATACGGCCCGGTAAAGGACCTACAGACGCAGCAATACAGAAGCAAAACGAATGCAGAACTGAGAGAGATATACTATGAACAAGATCTGAGCAACATAATAGAGGCTCAAGGGCTGAGTTAGGCAGGACTCGTGCATAGGCAACCCATAGGACCCAAGACAAATATTGCTGCAGATTACCGCGTTAGCCAAAGCCCAACAAGGGCTGTAGCGCTACGAAGTAAATATTTCCACCAATATGCTGTCCTCTGTCATTGTCAAGGCAGCTGAAGAGAGGACAGGATGTTCGCACCTCATAAACAATCCTATTCCTTTAGCAGTTCTGATTTTAACTGGATCATCAACTCCTGCTGATTGCGTTGAATGAAAAAATTTCAGTTATTTTCTTCTTCTACTCTCTTTACTATTAGGCAATTCAAACCACGTGACATTCAAGATGGCGTGGCGGCCACACATGGGCCAAAAAACACAAAAAAATATCTAGTTTCTGCCCGAATTAATAGTTTAGGTACCTAGTTAACAAATATTTTATTAAATAATGAAAATCAGAGTTGTAAGCAAAACTCTATGCAAAATAATTTAAAATACGCATAAAAATATATTCAAAACAAACTTGCTTGGCCGCCACGCCACATTGAATTTTCCTTTTTGACAGATGGATTGAATTGCCTAATGGAGTCAAAACATTGTAGAACACAACAAGAACACCATGCTCATTTGACATATTTCAAAAATCAAAATGACAATATTCCATCTAGGTGTTTTTCTCACATTATTTTTTCTGCCAACATGCTTTTATAAGCAAAGTGATGGTCAAGATGATAAGGTGAGGATGAAATAATTATTTTTTTCAGAAAGTTTTTGATTCAATTATTTATCTTATCTTTACTAGGCCCATGTTGAAGTCGAAGATTCACATGATTTGGATGCACAAGTTCGTGTTCTTGGAGGACGTAGCTGTTCAACAAAACAGTACGGTTTCATGGTTCTAGTGATCAGGACGCACCAGGGTACATCGTACAGAACATGTGGAGGAACCCTGTTTAAGCCTGGCTGGGTATTAACTGCCGCACATTGTATAGACGAGTCAAAATCCAATTACTACTCGGTAATAATTGCAGCAAACACTCATAAGAGAACAATTTTAGTTGAGAAATATTATGTACACCAAAAATATAGCAAAAAAGACAGTCACGTGAACGATATAGCTTTGCTAGAGCTAAGCAGCAGATTGGATGCATATTTTAGAAATGGTGACATTAAACTTGTAAATCTTCCCAAACCGGAAGATAACGATACTGATCCGATTTGTGAAGACGGTTTAATCATGGGATGGGGCAAAATGAGGTCTTCCGAAGTACCAGAAATACCGGATCTTCAATGTGGTGATGTCGAATTGATTCCGAATCGAAATTGCGAGGATATATTTCGCTCGCGTCATTATAGAATATATCAAAGTCAAATTTGTACATACTCTGAAAAGGGCGTAGCGGCATATGTAGGTGATTCTGGGGGACCTTTGATGTGTGGTGAGGTTCAAGTCGGCATCGTTTCTTGGGGAATGGGAAAAGATGAACCGTTTCCCAATGTTTTCACTAAAATAAGTGATCATTTTGATTTTATCAATCAGGTACAGCAGGGTCATTTCAATGGAACATGTGTTTTAGGGCCTATTTTATTTTTAACTATTTTTATGCTGATATCTTGTATTTTAGTCAAATAAAAAGATAAATTAATAAATTACATTATTACTTATTTGGCAAATTACATTCTTGTTGTGTGTTTAACTTGATATTGGATTCAATTCCATTTCAATCAGTTTCCAGTTTTTCAATCCTCTTCCTAATTAAGTAACATTTTTGTATACAAGTGGACAAGAACAATATTAAAATATAATGATTCTCGCCTTTGTGAAATCAAATCCTTTGTTTTCTTACGTTTGCCGCCCGCAATGCTAGTTTGTTTAGACGGGACCGGCTTCAGATCAAAGTTACTTTACGTCGTTAATTCGGTATCAAAGGAACTATCATTTGATGAATTAAGACTTTACAAACGCGCCATACAGTTGGAACTTGTCCATTGAAATGCTTTCATTTACTTTAATAATATTTTGATTTGTTTTACGACCGCGATTTCGGTTTATCTGGGTGCGCGTTTTACCGCTTTGCATTTAGTACGATTATAATTATGAAAAATGATTTACGAGTTTGCTACGTGGCTTGTTGCGACCGTGCAATATTTACTTTTATTATGTCTCAGATTTCTTTAATTGGTTTTTGATGCGGCGGAGCGGTTGAATGGTGAATCATCGTTACACTTAATTAACTCTCTTACCTGACGCACCTGTTTGAATTGTTCCTCAAACGACCAGGTGTGCTGAGATGAGGCGCTGCCTTCCGAAGAATGCGAGCTTCCAGAAGAGGGTGGCTGAGGTTGAGGTGCCATCGGAGGCAGAAAAGCGGCAGGATGTTGGAATGGAAACGGAACGGGAAATTGGATGCCTTCTTGAGGACGGTTGTTAAGCGGAAAGGACAGCTGGTTTCTTTGGTTTTCGAAGTCGTCCTGAAACAAACAGAATATTTGCTAACTAATTCTATTTCTATATTAGTGACTAATATAACAACTTTGAAATGGGCACATTCAGTCTCGAACTGTTAAAAAAATTTATGCAAAAATATAGTGCTTTACAGTTGGATACTTCACCTTATCTATGATTAATAATTGAACTTGCACTTTCCAGTCATTTGTCTTCGAATGTTGAAAGCGACGAACGCCTCTGATGTCGGCAGCCAACTGGATTGATTAATTTGTTCAAAATTCGATAATTTCAAATAACAAATCACCTTCATTTGAACATAAATTTATTAATATTGTCAAGCCAAAAAATATCACCCTTTACAACATTATTATTTCAATACAAATTGTGTTTTGGGACTTGATGGAGATGCCGGACAGTTGCAACCCCCCAGTTGCAACAAAATAGGTTGCAACTGGGGGGTTGCAACTGTGGGAGTTCATTGTTTTGCTGTCATGAAATGAAAGAACTGAACAATTTAACATGATTATTTGAGGAATGAAATGGAAATACAAGGGAAAGAATACCAGTCGTCACAAGAAACATCAGGCCCAGTGTCACAATTGGTGGTAACTTGGACTGGTTATCAAACTCATAGTTGCGGGTCGACTTTGACTACATTGAATATTCTGAAGCTTGACCAATAGTTTTGGCTAAACCACACATTATGAAACAATTACATTGTAGGTTACCAGTGTCTTGTGGTTGCCGTTGGGCTACCACTGTTTGTGAAACTGGCGCTTAGGAACAGATCCAGTCGACAGAAGATGACCAAAAACAGACTTGGGAAGACTTTAGCCAATTCTAAGCGATTGTCCGATCGGTCATCAGACAGACGGAACAGCTATGTTTTCTTAAATTAAAAATGGAGTGTGCCATACAAATTTCGAAAAACAGAAAAGCGGCTGGACCTGACAACATTTCAATAGAGGCATTGGTCGATGGAAACCTGACTCATCTTACAAAAGTACTCAACTAAATATATGAAACAGGAGAAATTCCAGAAGATAGACTTAGATGAGTTTTCATTTTCTTACCTAAAAAGAACAGCCCTAAGTCCTTGATGATCAGTTTGATGAGTCACACACTTTTGAAAATAATCCAACAGAGAATATATCGAAAATGTGAAGAACAACTAGATGAGACGCAGATTGACTTTAGAGCAGGATTAGGAACTAGAGAAACATTATTTGCTATCACAGTACAGATAAGTTGAGAATACAAAAAAAGTATATACGTCCGTTTCATTGACTTCCAGAAAGCCTTTGATAAAGTGCTACATGATAAACTTATAGAGAACTTAAAAAGTATGAATTTGGATCCAAGCGATACACGATTAATAAAAAATATCTACTACAACCAAACGGCAGTAGTGTGTGTTGAGGACATAAATATAGATGAAATCGAAATTTAAAAGGGAATTAGCCAAAGCTGCGTTCTATCCTCACAACTGTTCAATCTATATTATCAGTTTGTATTTCAGAAAGCGCTGGAAGAGAGACGCGAGGGTGTAAACATTGGAGGGACATCAATAAACCACCTAAAATTCCCCGATGATACTGCTATAATGGCTGAGAGTGCAGAATATCTTCAAACCCTATCAAAGAGAGTCAAAAGAGAGTCTGAAGAAGTAGGACTCACTATAAACACCGAAAAAAGTAAATTCATGTTTATACGTAAAAACCCAAACACTAACCCTTTTCTCACATTGAATGGAAAACAAATAGACCTGGAGTAAAAATATAAATATCTCGGTTCAGTCATAAATGCTCAAATCCAGACGACAAAATCAAGATCAGACTAGAAATGGCTGGAAAGGCATTTGTCAAATACTTCTCAATGCTTACAAACAGAAATCTAAACCTGCACATCAGAATAAAGTTAATAGAATGTTATGTGTGGTCAGTATTATTGTGCGGAGAAGAAACTTGGACAATGAAAGTTTGAATGACCAAAAAACTTGAGGAGTTTGAGATAACCAACGACGAAGTCCTAAGACGCATTGGTCACAATAGAAAGCTGTTGGCCACTCATTAAGATAAGGAAAACATCTTATATAAGACACATCTCACCTACTGCTCCAAAACATAATGCAGGGTAGAGCAGAGGGGAAGAAAAGTATCGGCAGAAAAAAAAATCCTGACTCCAAAACATAAGGGAATGAATGGACAAAACTCAGCGTCAACGAATCGTTCCATGTTGCATTCAGAAACGTGTTCGCCAACCTTCAATGAGAAGACGGCAAGAAAAGAAGAAGAAAACTGGAGTGAACCAAATACCGAAGAAATAAACATTCATTAATCAAATACTGGGAAGAAATTGGAAATTCTTCAAAATGTTCCTGAGGCAAAACAAAATGATTATGCAGCTGTTGCCTTGCTTCATCGATAGAAGTGAGAGATATAGACCTGGAACCAGCGTTAAGAATGAATGTGAATTGATCATTTTCGAAGGACTCTGCAATGATGTTGCAAAATGTATTGTTAAACAGCTAGAGGAGAATTGAAAAACATGTTTGAACAGATTACCGTGATATTATTGCGAATAGGCAGCTTCAAACTAAATTATAAGTTTATACTGGGCAACGATAAAAAAATTCTCTCTTCGTCTTTAAATAAGGACTGCTAAGATAAAATATATTCGACGATGATACACGAATTCCTGGAAGTAGGGAGACGATCTTGAAGGCGAACCTAGAAATATAACTACATGTTGAAGAAAAATAAATACTTAGTATCAGTTATTCAGATGCAAGAAAGAGCCTCTGTCAAATGCAGCACATTTATCTCTAGAACCTATGAAAAATTTCAAAACGAGCTTCTACCCATATCAATATCTAGGGTAATAGGGGCGCAATACCGTTTTCATTCCTAGCCTTGAATAGTGGATATTGGCAGGTGAACTTCATTAAAAAAGATAAAGAGAAGACCGCCTTTCCGCTTTATTTTAAAACCTTATAACTTTGCCCAGGAAATTCTTGTTGAAATCAGCGTTTTTCTTTATAAGTGTGTTATTGTTACTGTTTTGTTCGCGAACCCTTGAATAAACTTTTGAAAGTAACCGGCGAGTCCCATCAGTTGTCTCACTCCTTTGACATCCTTCGGCGGCATGGTATTTTGTAGTGCCATCACTTTTCTTGGGCTAGGTTTCACTGTGCCGTTTTCTATAACAACTTCCAAATATTCAGTACGAGTCTGGAAGAAAATGCATTTTTCAAGATTTAGTCTAAATCCGGCGTGCGAAAGTGCTCGTAGGACTAACTCAACTTTCTTTAGTCCTCCACAGTTTCACTGGGAATTAGCACTTCATCCAAATAAACAAAAGCTATATTGTCCTTCAACTTTCCAAGAGCCTTATCGATTGCTTTCTGGTAGCATGAAGGTGAGTTTACGATTCCAAATGGTATCATCGTGTATTCATAATGTCCATCTGGAGCTATGAACGCAAGAAGATGTCTTGACTTCTTTTCCACCAGAACTTAATGAAACCCTGCCTTCATATCCAATGTACAATAATATTTAGCAGTGCTAAATGCATTAATTTGATCCTGAATTCCTGGCAGAGGATAAGGATTTCTCACAACCCTTATTAAGATCTCGATAGTCGACGCAAAGGCGAAGATCCCCGTTCTTTTTCTTAACTAGTACAATTGGGCTTGCATATTCGGATGTACTTTCCTGAATTATGCCTTCGCTTAAAAGTTCTTCATTTATTTTTTTAAGTTGCATCCTTTCAGCATAGGCTAGAGGTCGTGGCCGATAAGCAACAGGAGTTTCATCCTTCAAGGAGATCATCAGGTGTCCTGTTACTACTGCTGGTGGAGAGTCTTCTATAGCTTCCCTTAACATCTCCATTTTTCTTTCCACTGTCTCGTCCATTTCTGACGTCTGTTGTTGATTACCTATCATTGATTTGTTGCACATATCGTATTGCTGCGTCAGCATTATGTTGCAAGTCCAATCCATTACTTGTCTTGATCAGCTTGAGGCCAGGCCTACTGATAACGTCCGATCCAATTATGGCCTCCAAATCAGGGATGGTGTCGTCAGTGACTATCAGGAACGCCACATCTAATGTAACATGCGGCAAAAAAACAATGATCATACAAGAGCCTTTGACTTGAGTAAATCCTTATCCAAGTTCTGTCAACCTTCTTTCACTAGAAATGATGATAGTACCCAGCTGTGTTGCCACATGTTCATGTAATCATGAGAACTCAGTTTCCGTGTCCAATAGATAAGTGAACTTCTCATTATTTTCACTAATTGCTGTGGCTATTGGTATCTCATCCAGGTATCGCCTCCCTTTGACAAGCAATATCTTTCCAGAATTCTTCCCGGTATCAGCCATTTTCTTATTTGGAAGTCCAATTTTGAAATAAAACTTTTCCTCCGTGCGTCCTATCGTTTTGCAGTGCGTACACACACTGGTGATGGTTATTTCTTTTGAACTCAGAAAAGGATGTATCTGCTGTTTTTTGTTTGTATATGCATTCAAACGATTTATACCCAGGCTTTTTACATTGATAACAGGTTCCAGTGAATTTCGTAGTTTTTGCTTCAGCACGTTTCTTAGGTACGGCTCATACCTGTTTCTTCGATGAGGCCGTTCAGCTTGAAAGTTCCTATTAAGCTGACTTCTTGAACTATGTTGCTCGATGCGTTGTCTCTGTTTTTCATTGTCCCTCTCGCTCATGAGCACAATCAACTCATTTTCATTTGGTGGTTTTCCTAATCGCAGTGCAGTCTTGGCTTCGGTGTCATCCAAACATCCTTCAATAATGCTACGGGTAACTGTCCACGGATATTCAAGTTCATGCATATTCTGGATATGACCTAACTTTGAGTGACAAAAAGCAGAAAGTGTATCGAATTCACTGCTTCTTATAGTGGTTATAACATGGTGTCTAGAGTAAGGCGTACCCACCACTGAAAATGAACTGCTCAGATCTGTAACTAAATTGGCCCAAATTTGCTCTTTCGATTTCCACTGTTTAAAATAATGAGCAGCTCGATTCTGTAACGTAGTCCCCCCTTTGACAATCATATCTTCGTCTTCTAACGTGTACCTAATTTTATTTTTACTAGCAATCTCTAAGCATTCCTTCAAACTATATGGAGATTCATCTAACATAATAAAAGGTTAACTTACAGTTGCAGTTGTTATTCCGTTACTCAAATTATTTACACTTGATTGCTGCTCCAACAACTTTACCATCAATAGTTTGCTTGTTGCTTTTCTTCCCGCTCAGTCTGAATTCTCTTTTGTTTTTTATCTCGTTCTGCATGCCCTTTTTTTTTGTTGGCGTTTAAAGTCTTCTATAGATTCTGCCCAAGCTGTTATATGTACTCTGAACAATTTTTCTTGTTGTTGGGCTTATTTCTCTTATTAAGAGTACGCGCAACTTTGGTTTGGATACCTTTCCGCATGCTATTAGTATTTGGTATTTGTACTTTCTCAATGGTCTTGTCCAAACTGGATAGCGGCACATCACTGTTAATTGATACCGCATCACTTTCACTACTGCTACTCATTGTCGTCCACCTATCGTTCACTACAACGAAATCAATAACAATTGTTCACAGGCAGAGATTTACCGTCCACGGAATGTTAGTTTTTTTTTTTCAATAAAAAAAATAGGGTCTTTTTGTTTTGTTTTTCAACAAAAAAAGCCGGCTTTCTATTTCCAATGGAACAATTCTGTTTTTAATGCAAATTTCGACGAGCTACTACTAGAACTACACCATACAAATTTTCAACAGAACACATATTAACAAAATTATGGTAACACATCAACATAGCTCCAGTAAAAGTCTACCAAATAAATGCAAGAGTCTTGGTACAAAACCAAGACCAAGAGCAAGTTTTGGTGCAAGACCAAGAACAAGACTGTACCCTGCAAGACCAATACCAAGACCACTTATTGGACTGCAAGACCTAGACCGCATATACAAGACCAAGACCAAAACTAACCCGGTCTTGGTCTAGGTCTTGCATTTGCTCATCACTAACCAGTGTTTGTGTCATGAAGACCACGTACTGACAGTTCTTGGAAATTTTGCCAAAAGTAAGAAAAGGCTGGCAAAAATTCTGGCTGTGTTTTACAGATTAGGGCCGAATATAACCAAACTGAGACAAAGCTGATAGAAACAAGACCTACCAAAAAGTCCAAAAAGAACCCCAAAAAAAAAAACAAAATGCTAACAAGGAATTGGAAATCATACGTGGTTGACTAGAAAATGTACAAGGACATTACGAGAGATTTGCAAGCGTCTGTATATCTACCAGAGAGCTTTTTGGTGACTATTTCACTAGAGTGTTTTACACTGGCAAAATGTTATAGGAACGGCCGGTTTCTTACTGACAAAACTCCTACGTGTTCCTACACAAATTTTCAACAGAACACATATTAACAAAATTATGGTAACACATCAACATAGCTCCAGTAAAAGTCTACCAAATAAATGCAAGAGTCTTGGTACAAAATCAAGACCAAGAGCAAGTTTTGGTGCAAGACCAAGAACAAGACTGTACCCTGCAAGACCAATACCAAGACCACTTATTGGACTGCAAGACCTAGACCGCATATACAAGACCAAGACCAAAACTAACCCGGTCTTGGTCTAGGTCCTGCATTTGCTCATCACTAACCAGTGTTTGTGTCATGAAGACCACGTACTGACAGTTCTTGGAAATTTTGCCAAAAGTAAGAAAAGGCTGGCAAAAATTCTGGCTGTGTTTTACAGATTAGGGCCGAATATAACCAAACTGAGACAAAGCTGATAGAAACAAGACCTACCAAAAAGTCCAAAAAGAACCCCAAAAAAAAAACAAAATGCTAACAAGGAATTGGAAATCATACGTGGTTGACTAGAAAATGTACAAGGACATTACGAGAGATTTGCAAGCGTCTGTATATCTACCAGAGAGCTTTTTGGTGACTATTTCACTAGAGTGTTTTACACTGGCAAAATGTTATAGGAACGGCCGGTTTCCTACCGACAAAACTCCTACCTGTTCCTACCTGGACAAAACCAACCCAACATGATGGTTTTTCAGCGACAAAATTTTGTGTGGTTAATGTAAAAAACTATTGAGTTTGACAAGTGTCATCCAAAGAAAATAAATTTTCCAAATGAAAATTTGGCTTGTTTTTCTCGTGAAATAGTCCAGCCGAATACCACTCTAAGAAAAAATTATGTAGGCAAAATTATTCTCTTGGTTTTATTCAGGTTTGTTGCTTTTTGGTAATTTCGCGAATGACATTTTTGACAAAACTACGAGCCGTCAGGCGAAAATTTTGCCAACAAAATTTTTTCTCTTGTGGTATTATATATGAAGAAAATTCCTGAAAAAATACGTAGAGAACTAGAAGGGCAATTTTCCATTGATGCGAATCAGTCAAACCACACGCTGCTGTGAAAGTTATTCCTATTTTTCAGAGCTCTGAGGATCTTTCATTTACCTAATTTTTCATGTTATGTTCAGTGTTCAGTCTTGTTCTGATCTTCTGTCATATGTTTTAGTTTGTCTTATTACTGTTGCAACATCGTATTCGAAAAACAGAGCACCCTTGAGAAAATATTGCTGAGGTGAAAGAAGCATCAGCTACATCAGAATGGGAGAAAATTCCTCAGAAATCTGATAAGTGTTTGAAAACACGATGCAATCTGATCAAAACCCCTGTCACAAACCAAAATTCCATCGTGCAACCGACGCATTTTATCAGAAATTTATCGATGCAACGGACAGATATTAATATTTTGCAGCCACTATATCACCGAGAGACAAAAGCTATTAACCGATCGTGATTAATTTCTCGATTACCTTTATATTTACCCGAAGGCTAGTATTGTAATTTCGCTCCCATACGATTTGCATTTCAGTTCGATGCAACTAGATGGTCTGGCTTATTTTTATACGAGATGCATTTGCTTAGGGTAATGAATTATAGCGTTTTAGCTATATAAAGGAGCTTGAGAACGTACGTAAATTATTTCCTGTTCATCTTTGAAAATTCGAAATAATAGTAAAACATTCTTACCCTCACATTAATATCCCTCACTTGCATTTTCAATTTGGTAAGTACGTCATTGTGATCGGCGAAATTGCCGTGTCGTCTGATTTCGTCACAACTGTCATGATCCTCTTGTTCTGTTCCAGAATTAGGCTCGCCATCGCTCATATCTTCTTCATTATGTGACTGCAAGAAAATTATTCTAATTAGGTATGATATGGGTATAATGGCGTGTCTCAATTACCCCTTTTGTAACTTGATAAAAAGTGAAGCACTATTAAGTGGTTTAATATAAGAAATATTCCCCCTTTTAATCAATGGATAGTCTATTGACTTTTACTGCTTCAAGAGGGTATCAACCGCATAAACTTGACAAATGTAAGTTAAACTGGATTATGTTTTAGGAAACGAATTGAGAAAATAATTTACTGAAATTGATAATGTTTCTATTCTAAACGCCTAACAAGCTGAAAAGCAACGAGGCAATATTTGTATGTATAATAAAATGATGAATTAAGATGCTATTAAGCAGCAAAACACAAGATTACGATTGGAAAACCCCCTCTAGTAGTAGAATTAAAAGTATCAAATAACAAACAAATCTTAACGATAACTTGGTCGAACCAAAAGGGAAATGCACTTATCTGGATTCGATCCGACCAAATCAATAATATTAAGTCAGAAATCTTATACGTTGTGATTTACCATAATCCAATTTCATCAAATTGCATTATATAACGTATAGAAATTTTAAAATATTCAACATTATACCTACAACGTGCAAACGGAAACCTATTAAATATAATCATATTAGCACTATTTTAATATTTCGAGTATTATTTCTATAAAAAGCTCGAATCGACGTCACTTCCTACATTCGCCGAATCTGCAAGCTAATAAATTAGCTCTCGAGGGTCCTTATGAATCCCGCCTTGAAAGTACTACTATTGAAATCAAAGGAAACCAAAATAATAAGGTACAGGCACTCTTGGCGCCTTGGCTCTGTTGGATACCGTTTTGAGCCTGAGCCTTAATATTCCAGGGGTGGAGAATGAATATAAAATATTTCATTTGCAAATTATAGTAACATTAAAACCCCATTATCGATTTTTGTCATGATTACATACAAAAATTCGATGAGAAATTGAACAAATATTATTTGATTCACTAATTAATAATTGATGGGTAAATTCCATAAAATTTAAATGTAAATTTAATGACGCAACAAATATTTTAACATTAATTTGATTAACTTCGATGTGATAATTTAAGATACAGATATAAAGCAAATAATAATTTTAATGTAAATATCTAGGAAACACCACTGTATTTTTAGAAAAAATAATGATTCAACTGCACTATCAATGGAATTAAACAGCCCGATATTGTATTCTTGGAATAAGGGTTTGCCTTTTTGTTTGTGGCCGTTTTACACAGGCCCCTACCGAATAAAATTTGTCGTGAATTTATGACTCTAGACTTATAATGGTAAAAATGTTACCACTCTTTTTAACATGTGTGAAAAATGTGGTATTGCATTGCAATCTAGGTCTCTGGTAGTAGAACTACAGAACATTAGAATCTTATAGGCTTCTGTTCAAATTTATATTCTCTACCTGATGCTATTAAAACCGTAAAATTTTCTAAACCTTAAATCGGATTTACGAATTTCAATTACCCAAACATTTCGTAGAAGTTAGATGTCACTTTATGGATGGGTTGTATATCATTTTTAGAAACAGGTAGACATTCAATAGCTTTAAAGGAATTTTGTAAAATATATGCACCACAGGCTAGAGAAAGGACCATTTCCATTACTTTTATTATACATACAACACGCTATTATAATAGATATCTAATAATGCTAGTGTGTGGTTGTCCCTAATCTACCATCAATGTAGGTAGTTCCCATTTGACGCCACTGCTGTTTAAAACACAATATAATATAAATTTAGGGTGTGTTTATGGTGGAATTTAATCGGACCACCCTTTGACTAGGGCCTCTGTTTACTTTAAACGATCGGAACAGATACAGATTTTTTAATGAAATATAAAATCTCCAAAATATAAATGGTCGGTTCATCCCGACAAAGTGACAATGGTGGCTGGTGAAAGCCCATCATCAGAAAACCGGCAGGTCCTAAACACATATTTGCACACTGGTAGGTCTCCACAACAGGTCTAGATGTGAGGAATTATTAATTATTTACTAAGTAAAGTCAAACAATCGTTTCAATAAAAAAAATAAAGGTTTGAAGAATCTGATTTCGGGTTTCAAATGGGAAAAACGGTCCTTTATTGGATTGTATTACCTGCTATAATGTTTCTTGTGAGTTTTATATTATACCTACGGGTAAAGGATGCAACTCTGTACTGAAAGTATCTAATTATTTTTTCGTCGGATTTTAAAATTTCCATTCATATTTAGAGGAAAAACCAGTAATTTACTTGTTGAACCTGTGTAAAAATGTTATGCTAACGAGCATGCGAAAAAATTGATATAATTTTATATTTTTTTGATGCGAAAAATATCACATTTTGAATAATTCAATGGCCGGTCCAAAGTTTGATCACCATTCACACTTGGTCCGTTGAATAATAATTGATCATCGATTTGATATTTGTATGATGACCAGGTAATAAATAGTCCAAATGACTATTTATTGGTTTTTTGAATTTTTGCAGTCATGCGCCGAATTTAATCAAATCGTGATTAGTGCCAGCTCTTGATTAGTTGGATAATTTCATGATGAGAATCAAGAGACGGTACTTCCTAGACAGCACACAACGTCTTAAAGACGTCTTTTTCAAGTCTGCATTACGTCTGAACATCTGAAGACAAGAAAAAGACGTTGTTTTAAGATGCCCATAAGATGTGTCGTAAATATACATCTTAAAGGCAAGTATGTGGTACATCCAGGCCTAGAAGTGAATAATGGATTTTAATAAAGAATGAAGGCTTCCACTTTTTACTATAATGGTTTTTGTATTGAAAAGAGATTCAATGACGTTTTTAAAACATGTCGTTGAAGACAACTTTAGAATATCTTAGTCCTAAAGACTCTTTAGGCAGACGTCTGAAAGACGTTGGGTTTTATAACATACGACGTCTTCAAGATTTCAAGACGCCTTAAAGACGTAAGCAAGACGTTTGAATGTGGTTTTTGGACATCTCAGGGACGTCTTTAAGATGTCTACAAAAAGTTACCACATAATTAGTTTCTCATTCAATTTAGAAGTTACTGGAAACAATTAAGAATGCTACAGAACACTTTAGAACTTTGAAAATTCTTTTGGAATTGGAGCGAAGGCGAGGGATTATCCCTAAACCTAAACAAAACAATTCTTGTTCCGTTCGCATAGAGAAGGAAGCTGAATTTGAAAGCCCCCATGTACCCGATGACCCCGCATCAGCACCAACCAGAAATGTGGAGGACCTGGTGAGACACTGTAGGATGAATGGGTCACAGTTGCTCATCGGGTGCGATGCGAATGCTCACCAGAGAGGCTGGGGAAGTACTAACATAAACGATAGAGGTGAGTCACAGTATATTATAGAAAACAAATTAGATATATTAAATAAACCTACCTTTGTAAATTCAACTAGGAAGGATGTAATCGATGTGACACTAGCCTCAAATCATATGAGGAATTACGTCACAAACTGGCATGTACCTGATGAGGCAAGTTGCTCGGATCACAGATACATCAAATTTGAAATTTTAGTGAGAATTTCATACATCTGTCAAACCTGGTATTCCAACAATAAACTGACATGTTTTGATTGTTGATTTGAACCAATCAGATTGGAATTGCATACTAACTGGTGCGAAAACTTGTGTTTTGACATTTTTTGACAAGAAATTTAAATTTTTGATTTCTGAAATTCTCTTATTAAATACAACTCGTGCAATTGAAATATATTTATAATTTTCGACAAATTTGCACTCGTGCTCTTTTTCAACTAAAAATGCATTCGGGCAAATTTCCCAAAAATTATCAATAATTTCCATTGCACTAGTTATATTACTATTGAAAAAAACTTCAGTAAATTATCGGAACCTTCGAAATACAAACTGGGATGCATACAAAGCTGACCTGGAGTACAGTCTGCCGAACATCCGGAAGACAATAAGAGACACTGAAGACTTGGAGATGGTTGTGGATGATGATGATGCAATTATCTCAGCCTTCGATGAAAATTGCCCACTTACAACAGGGACATCCACCAGGAAAGTGCCCTGGTGGAACTTGTAAAGTTAAGGAAAAAAACTAGAAGAGAATTAAATAAAGCCATGAGAACCAGGCAGTAAGAGACATACAGAACCACGTTGCAAAAGTTCAAGAAAGAGCTGAGGAAATCCCAGAGGAGGTCTTAGAAAAAGTACTGTGAGGATATAGAAAGTACTCAAGATTGTGCTAGACTACAAAGAAATCTGTCAAGGGGCCCGAAGACAATAATCAAATCACTTAAAAACAACTTTGGTGAATACACAAAGACGGTGGAAGAGACGCCTAAGAACCCACTTTCCAGGCTCAAAGATAGTTGATCAGACTCAGTGGACATGGAATGAGCCTAGACTTTGCAGAGCATCCAGGAATGACTGGCTGACCTCGAAGAAAGTAGTCAACTATAAAAAAGTCAAATGGGCTATAAAAACCTTTGACCCATATAAGTCTACAGGGACAGATGGGATCTATCCCATAATGTTACAGAACTGAACTTGCAAACTGGATAGCCTTTGGCTATATACCAAAGGCCTGAAGGCGCATTAGGGTATCGTTCATATCAAAATCTGGAAAAATAAGACAGGACACGGCGAGGTCCCTATATTATTTGAGTATAAGACACTGGAAAAACTTGTGGATAGGCACCTAAGGGACGGTGTTTTGGTAAACAGACCACTAAGCGTATCGGACAGGGATGTCAACAGAAACAGCGCTTCACCATCACAAAGAGGTGATGCTGGGTTCCTTCTTGGATATAGAGGGAGCTTTTGACAACACTTTTTTCGATTTAATTACCAGATCTCTCAAGCACAAAGGAGTTGAGGACACTTGCTGTGTGTGGATCAACTCCATGCTAAGAGAAAGAATGGTAGAAACCACCATCGCAGAGGAGACACTGGCGGCCAGGGTAAACAGGGGATGCCCATAGGGCGGGGTATTATCCCCACTCCTGTGAA